TATATTTATTATATTTTGAAAGTACAATCGTATAAGTAAATACTTTTTGTATAAAATCAAAATAATAATATAAAATATTAGAAATATATATTTCCTGAATTCTGATGCACGGAAATATTATACGAAAATGCTATTGTTATATATTACTTGAATAATAATATCAAAACAATTTTCTCATTAGTATATTTTCAAGCGTTTAAAAATTACTAATTTTTAAAATATAAATAATTTGCATGTATTAAAAATAATTTTGTTTTATCGTTTTATACGTGTAAATCGCTTTGCGATAGTGTCCTCTGCTTTATTGATCCACGGTTCATATACTGCTTATCACGAAGCCGGTAAAACAGAATGGCTTCTGTCAAAATGGCCGAGTGTTCGTGGTCGGTTAAATTTTGATCGTCAAAAGAAATCGTTTGAGTGGATGAAATAATTATTTTAGCCTGCGAATAACGCGCATGCCGATTTTCTCAACAGTATGTTGTCGTCCGGTAAACGTAGTTTGTCTAAAGAAGATATCAAAGCTGCAGACAAAGATGAGAAAGTGAGTATTACTCATTATTGCATTGGCGTACATCAAAGAACACGCAGCATTCTAAAAATGACGTCATGCATGGCGGGAAACTTGACATATGCTGGAACGGTTGTTTTGCAGGAATCACTATTGGAGCATGACAGCGATCTCGATGAGGAAATGTTATTCACGTAAGATAGAAAAGTTATTTTATAATTACAATTAATTAAAAAAGCTTTTTTTTGAAATCCTAATTTTTAGAAATAGTCAGACAGAGGTAATTTTTGTTTACAAACTATCAATTTATATATTTTTTTTCTATTGAAATATTACAATATATTTGATTCTTGTTATATTTTTTTGAAATTTTAATTAATATATATACAAATTGCATTAATAAGTGGCTATGTAATTATAGTCGGCCCAGTACATCAAGTGGAAATAAAAATGATAATAAAATGGATAGGTAAGTAAAAAATAACATCACCTATATTTATTTTATTATATATAATTTGTGCATTAAAGTGATTATTATTTGAATCTTTTGAATCTTTTTCACATCTCTCAGAATATTTCCAATCGACAAAAAAATATAAATATAATTCCAAATATAAGCTTGATCAAACAATGGGAACACGTGCTCCCAGTTCATTAAATATTGTGTGTGTGTGTGTGTGTGTGTGTGTGTGTGTGTGTGTGTGTCGT